TATCAATTCAGGTGGGGAGGAGGACTATAATTTAAAAAAATAAAGCAATGAAAAGGTACTCTGGGTGACTAGGTTGGAGGCAACAGGTGCTATCTTCTAGACTGGAACATAAACAGTTAAGGCTTGAGCTGAGAATGGAATTTTTAGAGGCAATAAGATACGATGTAGAACATATAAAGGTAAGAGAAAGTGAGAATGTAAAGTAATACAACCATCATGGAAATCAGCATGAAAAGTCCTCAAAAAACTAACACTATATATTTCATTCAACGTATGGTAGCTATTTCCCTTCTACATATCTTCCTGAAAGACTTAAAGACATCATTATGACGATACATGCATACCCATCTTTATAGGAGCACAAATCCTAATATCTAAATCTTGGAAGCAGCCTATATGTCCACCAACAGATGAATGGAAAAAAGAAAATGTGGTGTTTACACACATTTGGCTTTATGGAGCCATAAAGAAGGATAAACTTGAGTCATCTGTGGGAAAATGGATGCACCTTGAGACCATAATGCCAAGTGAAATAAGACACACAAGCCTAAATATCACATGGTTTCTCTTATATGAGAAATCCTAAATATAAATAAAGAACAAAATAAAAGACAGATAATAGGAAGTAGGTAAATAGATTTTTTCCAAATGGGAAGAGGACTAAGAGATGGAGGAAGTAGGGAAGGAAGGGAGAGGAGGGGATGGAAAACATTGACATATAGGGCCAGAGATTTAGCTTAGTGGTACTGTGCCTGCCTCATAAGCACAAGGTTCAATCCCTGGAACCAAAAAAAAAAAACACCCACACACACACACACACACAATAACCCCCAAACAAACAAAAAACATACTGAGGTGTGTTATGTACATGTACCAACTTCCCACGAGGAATGCCATCATTATATACTGCAAACATGAACTAATAAAAAAACAAAAATCATATTGAGTCCATACTCTTAAGCGAAATAAATAAGAAACACATGTGTAAATACCGAATAGTTTCTCTGGTAAAAAAATATAATAGTACATAAGATCCTAATGACATAATTGACAGTGTGAGATAGGAAGAAAGGGGCTAAAGGTGTAGGGAAAGTGGGAAGGGTAGGGGAAAGATAATAAGGGAAAAGAAAAAAATATGACAAAATGAAAGAATGGAAATAAAGTGTTTGTAAATGGGGAAGTTCCTCCTAACTATCCATGTTAGTAAACCAGGCTCAATTCAGGGGCAAATAATCTCCTTGATTACTGAATAAAAATGGATCAATTGGTATTTTCATGAGTGAAATCTAGGATTAAAAGAACAAAGTAGTGCTACTAAGCAGAATTTACCAAAAACTGCTTCTAGGTAAATTAGAAATAATAAGTAGTCACATACATGATCCATATAAGAATAATAATTTAGTTTCCTGGGCAGCAGGGTGGTTAAAGAAAGAAAAAGATAAAAATGGAACATAACAGGGAAGGAAAGAAGGGGTGAAGGGAGGGCAGGGGTACGGGGGAAAAATGAGAACCAAGACCCGTCGTAAAGGTACAAGATCCCAATGATGAATGTAACTGTACTGTATACCTAAAATGTACCAATAAACTCAATGATGATTAAAAAAACTGAGGAAAAAAATTAAAAGAGGACTATAGCAGAGAGAAACAGTAATAAAAGTTCTAAGGGTGGAGTATGCTCTGCGACTGTTTTATTGTCATCAAAATGGGAGCGGGGGTGAGGGGCAGAAATTTAGGCCAAAGAGGTGACAGGGTAGCCAAATGGGCCTTGGGGAATATTACCCAGCGTGTACAGAAAGCAGGAGAATTTAAGATTTACCGATATTAAGAGACTTCTCTGTCTTTTTCTCACACCACTTACAAGAATCTAATATCTTCTGTGTGGTCTTCCAGAGAGTATGGGCCTCTATCATCTCTTCTTTGGCTTTTTGCTTCACTGGGCCAAAGAAAAACAGAGTAAGCAACGCACTTGATTCTCTGTTCCTTCTCACAACGTGGCATTTCAGATTATACAAACATCCCCAGACTACACAGATGAAGACACACAGAAGCTTTAAAGGCCAAGCCCCTCTCTCTGAGCTAAACCAGGCAACAAGGTCTCTGAGCTCACATTTTTGAAACTCCTTAACATGGTTAACCAGGTCCTTGATCTGTGGATCCAGGTTTTCTGCTGTAAAGGGGGAAAAAAAAAGATTGAGCTGGAAACAATCATATAAAAACAAGTGAAATTGGGCTAAGTGCTTTCTCTCTACATGCATTATTGATTGTCTGCTATGTTACAAGATGTGCAGGACCGTTGTGGGCTTTAGTTATGGGTGCTAGAATAAAAACAATGAACAGAGAAGCAGAACACAATATTTGACATCATGTTAGGAGGTGCTGAGTATATTGTAAAAAGAAAGAAAGAAAACAATAAAAGACATAGGGAGATAGAATAAAACAGTGGAAGGTGCTTCCTTAAGTACAAAAAGAACTTTCTAGCCCCAAGTAAGGAAGACGAGCAAATCTATAGCTTTCAAGGAGTGGAAGGTGTGGGGACCTTTCCAGATAGAGGGAATAGGAAAGGGAGAACCAGATGTAGGGAGTACACTGTATTTCAGGAACAGGGAGGATTCCCAATGAATAAGTAGAGGGTATGATATGAAATGGAATGAAGGGAAATTGGGTAGAGCCTTGTAGTCCAAATTGAGAGCTTCTGGATTTTACCCTGGGTATTGTTAAAAGCCAAGAGAGATCTCACTGTATTTTCACCTTATTAAGATCCCTGGTGCATGTTGTGGGGGAAAGCATGGATTGTGACTACAGGATTGGCCTCATCATACAAAAAATAATGCTACCTCCTTGCATATTTAATGGTAGCTTGAAAGACCCTAGTGAAGGGTAATATACTTCCTCTTTCAGGATTTTTCTACAGTCTCTTCTAGCTTAAACTTTTAACAGCTTTTCAGGTTTCAGTGATGTGAACTGAGAAGCACTGTACTCTTTGGCTCTATGATCATCCATACAAAGCTGTGTTACTAACCTTGATGAAAAACATCCTAACTGTCTCTGGGCCAAGAGGTCAATTCCCCAAGAACCTCTGGGCATCAAGCACCCAGTTCTTGCTGTCAGTCAGGGTTCTATTCATAATATAAAGAACTTAACAATTTCACTTCTAGGATAGTAGTTTACAAAGCATGAGGATATACAGAAACTCTTTGTCACCATCTCTTTAAAATGGACTCAAGGATTTACAATGTTCATTTGAGTTCATTTCTGAGGCTGGACATTTGATTACCTCCAGAGCAGGAGCTGAAAACATATATATATAT